CTTGCTTTGTTTTGCTGGTTCCCCAATATGTTGGCATCCTTGCTGCATGAGACAACCATTCAGATGAATGAGAGGGCTGCGTTTTTGAAGCAGAGTTGCTATTGGTCTAAACGTGGCCTTACATTTGACCTTATAAACATTCTAAAGCTAAGAGTATCTAACAGTACCCTGTAATTCAAGAACAATGCTGTATCTTTTCTCCTTTGTCTTCTATATTTAACATGAATTGCAGTGCCAGGAAAATAATCATTGAACCCATCTGCTATCAGTCAGATGACAATATAACCTCATGGGCAATTGGACAATATTCCAGGTTTTTTCTTTTAATGGGCCTAGATTCCCTCTTTCGAGTGCCGGTCATTGGGTACAGTGCAATTAGACACTTGAGACTTGACAATGGAATTAGAATAGAGACAATGCATACCACAGTATTGTACGTCTATTCTCTTCATTCATACACAGATATCTGTTTTTATAGAGTAATACAAAATGTAATAATTTTCAGATGAAAGAGGGAAGAAGATTTGATTTGGCCAATTCTCACCGCTCTCAAAATTGATTGATTATCTGCATGCAATTGAAGCCTGTTTAAACGTGATTAACTTTACCAGTCTTCTAGCAAAGTATTATTTCTGCAGCTATCAAATGTATATTAGAGTCCCTTTTTTGTCAAATGAAACCATTACCATGGCGCATTTCCACTACACGGCCTCGCTCGGTATGGCTAGGCCTCGTTAGGACTGGCTCATTTTATGGCGCATTTCCATTACAGTTTAGGAACTGGGGTAGTATCTATAGTAACGCAGTGTAGGCGGAGCCGTGACGTCATCTTCAATGAGAACCCCAGAAAAACAACACAGCCGTTAGCTGTTAGCACTCAGAGCTCACAGCTCCTCATATATGTTCAGAAACTAGACAAAAGTTAAACAAGTACAAACCACAGACTGCCTGTGTCATGGTGAATACAGTCGCTGCTTTATTTATGTCTGTATAGGCCGTTGTTGTGAGTGTGGACGGTCGGAGCATATACTGCGTTAGCTTAGCCAATCTCCATTTAGAAAACACGCATTTTAAAAGGTTTTTCGCCTGCCGTCTGTCTGCAGACTTGTCAAAGCATTAATTCATGGTTTTTACTAACCGGTATCAGTATGTTGTTACTTCGGCATCATTTTGAAACGTGTATTACAATTAAATTACGGTCAAATATGTCCATCTTGTTGTAGTTGTAGCCCCCTTGCCAGCGATTCACTCTCTAGTTTAGCATACTCAGCCCGACTCAGCCTCGTTGTCTCTGGCCCTAGACCCACGATTTTATGAGGCCAGAAAAACTGTGAATTAGGACCCGCCGGCCGGTACTAGGCCAAGTGGAAACGCAACCAAAAACGGGCCGCTGACGTCACAGCCCTCTTAAACCGTGCTCCGCGCTGTAGTGGAAACGCGCCAAAAGTTAGCCATTGACAGACTTTTCAACCAAGGGTAGATTAATAGGGTATAGCTAGTGCATACATCTGAGACTGTTGTCATTATCTGCCTGGAAATGAGAAGCCTTTGTCTGTCCACCATTCTTTTGTCCCTCAGAATTCTGGTTTTAAGAACAGAGAACAGAAAGCTTTTCAGGCCAAGCATCAGTAACTTAAGAGAGAGGGACTTCGCTAACGGCTGGTGACTTTTGATGCGTCAACATTTTTCTTAGAAGGGGATGTTTGTACCAACAGGCAGGAAAGTGACAAAAACAACTAAACAGGAAAGACAAAAACAGCTGTGGTACTAAAGGTATCTGCAGATTGTTAAGGACTTTTTCAATTGAGTCATCTCAGAAATATTTGTCTAATCACCGACAGATCAAGCCCTGCATTTACATCATCACTGCTATTATGACACAATCGTGAAAACTCTTAGATAACAATGCCAGTCTGGTTTGAAGTCAACAATGTAAATAAGTGAGGACAGTCATATTTGGGACCAGGCTAGAAGAGAAGTCAGAGTTTTGTCAGCTCAGTGACCGTTCAGCCGTGAAGGTCTGTTTGCCTGTGGGCTCCAGCTGCCCGTCTGAACAACCAGGGCTGCTGCTATCTAACTGTAGCTTCCTCTCTCATAACATGAGTTAGTTATGCTTCCCATGTCATTCTTGCGCACATACTCAGATGTTGTTTTGCAGGAGGAGGAGGGGTTGGTGTACAGACAAATATTCAGCTGTTATTCTTCACAACTTCTCTACATTTTTGAGAGGACCGCTGTGGGACTTCTCTCTTGAACAAGCACATATGGCTCTGAAAGAAAATTACTGGAAAAACAATACTCCCATGGGTCCAAAGCTGTGTATAGATATTTGCTTGGTTAATTATATTTGTTTTGCTTTGTTATGCATGGGCACCTCCTGTCAATCCCTGGGGCGTTCTAGTGATATAGCCCCAGGACTGAGGCTTAATCTCAATACTCCTCAATAGAGATGACACAACCCACAGCCACCTGGGGTTTCCTATCCAATAATCCAAGCTACAACCTCTCAAAAATATTCAGCTCCACCATCTGCTGTGATCACTGTGAGAACACACTGCAGGCAGGGAATGACACCACGGATGACGGGGTAGCACTTGGAGTTGACTGGCAGCACCACGCCTTGGAGAACTCTGACAAATCTCTTGCGTTGCTGTAGAAGGGCTGTTGATAGTGAAGCAGGTAATGCATGTGACTCAACCTGTCTGCCAAGAACAGGCGCAGACAGGAGGGGAAGTGTGATAAGGGAGGAAGTGTGTTAGTTTGTGACGACGGAAGTTGACTAACCTCAGTGTATCACCTGCACAACACGGATATAGTTTACAGTTGCACACACATTTCTTAAGCAGGGTGGAAAACCTTACTTTGTATTGAATAACTAAGGACTTCAATCAAAACCCCTTGCTGTTTCTCTGCCAAATTACACTTATAGGGACTAAATCTACATGTTTTGGTGTGAGTTGTAGAGAGATCGAGATGTTTGCCTCCTCGTATATAATAAAACGAGATTGCACTTGGCTTGTGGTGCTCAAAGTGTCAATAAACATTTGAAAAACTCAAAAGCAATGTCTTTTTTCAGACCTAGTTACTCAAGATAGTCAACAGACCTTGTTGTGAGCAGTTTCATAAAGGAACTATAAACTATATCTTTCTACTGAACTACACACACAACAAGTAATGATGACCCTCTTGACTAGATGCACGTTTCCTTGGGAAGGGGGGTGTAGTTCGACACTCTCTGTAACTAAAACCGAAACAATTCAGTTCGATAAATAGCAAATATGTATTTTACATTTTTAGGGAGAACTGTATATTTGAAGCCGGCTGGTTTAAGCGTGTCTTGTACATGAATACAAAGGAATGCAGAGTGACACACGTGACGGCTGAGCATACCTCCTGGTATTTTCTCTCTTGGCTGAGCCAAGGCAAATCCAATGAAAATGTAAAGGAATGCATTCCTGCAGCCTTCCCAGCTCAGGTAGTCAAGGCAAGCAGAGGCTTCTCCTCAAACTATGCGGCGGTTACAACTGCTGGCATACCACTACGTACAACAAACCAATACTTGACATGCCACAACATCAACCCAAACAGATGTCTATCACTGTAACAAAGGTCTGTGTCAAATAAAACAAATTCAATCATGTTAGTGTGACCGTGTGCACCTGATATATTGAAAATGAGATATCACACTCAGTGTTTCAACTAACACGGTCTATTTTGTGTTATCTTTTTCTCAACTCAAGGTGGAGGAAAAAGTTAAGGGTTAAACCTGCATGTAGTGTTTTATCAAATGGAGCCAAAGGTTACCTTTGTTGAGTGTTCCCTGGCTAGAGGACATCCAATGCTGCGTGCTTCAATAAATCAGTGCAGTTCAGACGTAAGCAGCCACTCATGTGTGTGAGTTATTTATTTATAGACCGTGCATAGCAGCAGCATTAAATAAGCATATAAACGCTTGGACTCACTCTCTTTCTTTTTTTTTTCATGAAACTTACTATGTGTAAAAATGACACTCTGCATCATGTCATATTGGGTCCTATGCTGCTGTTACATCCTGGAATTTCTCAGTGCATAGGTCAGTTCTCTTCAGTAAGACCAATAGAGCCTGAAGGGTTTCTGTTAGGGACTTTAGTGTTTTGATGTAAAGTAGAGTAACAAGTGGAGCTTGCTGCTTACCAGGCCCTGCTTAGGATGAAGAATTATGTAATACTAGTGTCCTCAAGGCTTTCCAGTGCATGTTTTCAGCTCCTCAAGGCTGGCTACTAATATTTCTACAAGCAAAGGAAAACCTACAATATATTGAAACCATAGTCTCTGACATATTCCCTTGTGATACAGCAATTACTGTACTGTCAGGTAATCTCATAAACGCGCAAAACTCCGTTAAAAAAAACGTACACTTTTAAGAAGAAATGGTTTGGTGCATATTTTCCATGACTCGTGAAAAATAAAAAACACTTAACAGAAATACGTGTGATCGTGTGGTCAATTCGGCATATATATGACATCTGCATTTAATCCAGTTTAAACTAAACAATGGGTTTCACTCTTGCACCGACGGTAGAATGCTACGAAAACAAACCGGGTTTTCCGGTGGTAAATAGTAAGGGGCAATTACAAAAACTCTAAATTGTATTGGGTTAAAGTCCAGGTTGGCCTTAGGTTTACATGCCGAATTGAAGAGAACACTCTAGATATTGACATAATGCCTTAAGTCGTTTTTAGAACGGCGTGTTAAGCGTGTTAGTCACACAGGGTTTAGGTAGACTTGGACGGGCAAAACAATATGACATGCCGTGCATATTTTCCTTGCAGGTTTCGAAACGAGCGGTTGTAAACAAGTCGACGTGGATAACATGTTTACTATCGCTACACCGCGTATCCTGCGGCAGAAAAAACCCCACTAATGCGATAGTAATGTGTCCACTACATGTGGGAAACTGTCTTTACACGGGCTTTATAGACTTTCATTTGCTTTTTGGTTAATGTTACAGTGCACATACCCTTCTCCGGTTAGTCTGTGTCAAATGCATCCACAGCTGAGCCTTGTACTGGATGTAACCAACTGTCAGTCTTCTTTCGACGGTGGTCGTCAACAGCATCAACAATAACGCCTTTTCACCCTTTATGGTTCGCCGTTGCCTTGTTCACCAAAGTGCCTCCGTAACACAAAAACGAGAAAAAAAACGTGTCTCGGTGGTGCTTCCTGATTTAGGTACAGTGGGGATGATGTTGTTTGTAAGGGGTGGGGCGGTATGCAGCTCGAGTCCGCCAAGAAATGTCGGGCTAAAAAGCACGTTGGTGCACGTCTGTGCATGATTAGTAGCTCGTGCTTCATGGTAGGGACTGGGGAGGGTTCAATTAACGCGCGAAACAGAGACGTGATTTTGAAATACAGAACGTGACTCAAACAGCTGCAGGATAGCAGAGACAGTGAGCTAAAGACGTCTTGTTATTTCCTGCACCATTTGTCTCCATGTTCACTGGGGGCAGTGCATTGCTCAAGGGTACCGCTGTTGAGGAAGAGGTGTGGCAATCGCTGCAGTCATATTTCACCCAGTGCAGGGATTTAATACTACTACAGCATCCTTTCACTACTTCCACTATAGGAATAGATTTAGAGGCATCAAACTGTTCAGAGGTCCCCTTTCTAAATGCCATTTGTTAGGTTACATTGGGGCTGTATGTATACCCAAAATATTTACCCAAAATGTTTACTATTTTATTGTATGTATACCTATTAATTTGCACCTATTTATGTCATAGATTCTTACTTGTTTGGTTTTCTTTTTTATATAGCCCATATTGAGCATTGTTGAAGGCGAGCCTGATATCTTCAACACAATTTGCATAGCCTACGTCCGCTTCTCTGCAATTGCTGTGCATATAAGAGGTATCTTTTTTTTTATAACAAAAGGCAATGTTGTGATTTCCTTTTTTGTAAATGTACACTCTAAAAAAAATACACCGGCTCTACTTAAATAAATTGAGGTAACAATTTGCGTTGATCTTTTTAAGTATTTCCAATTTGATCGATTATTAAAGGGGACCTATCATGCAAAATGCACTTTTGTACGTCTTTTATACATGAATATGTTTCCCCGGTGTGTCAGGGAACTCACCAAGTGTCAGACAACACAACCCTCTCTCTTTTCCTCCATACCCAAATATCTAAAAACGGGGCTGCAACGGATCTGATAAAAACTGATCCAGATTTGAAATATCTCTGACGTCAGAAACGAGGAGCTCCGCCTATATGGGCAACTCTCCACCTATCAGGAGGAGACAGCCACGGCCATTGCCGTTCGAAAGCGCTGGAGACGCTGTAGTACATATGCCAGGCCTGTAGGTGGCGCTGTAGTCTGCCACAAAAGCAGCGAAGAACACTTCTCACAGAATCAGCCCTTGCAAAAACAGGGCTAAAAAAGAGCAAATAGAGCGAAATGAGGCATGGCTAAAATGCATGATCTGTTTGGTATTTTGAAAAAAAAACTTCGCAGACATGTTTTATATAGGTATGGCCCTACAATATATTATTCAAATATAGCATGATAGGTCCACTTTAAGTGAATCCGAGTACCCATTTATAATCTGATTAACTCAAATAGTTCAGTACTACAAACATAATTGCTTTCACCTTTAAAATCTAAATTAAGTTGAACCAACTTAATTTTAATCGTAAAGATGGAGTGATATTAAGTTGCATTTTGTTTAATGTAAGCTATTGTAATTTATTTATTTAAGTCCACACTACTCAAAAATGTCCATGCAAATTGTTACCTTCATTTGTTTGAGTATTAGAAACAAATTTATTTCAGTCAAAAAGAATATACGCATTTAAGTTCTACTTTTTAACAGTTTATTTTAAAATGTTCTTTACACAATGAACTTTTTATAACAAATGTTATATAATCAGTATGCTATGCATGCTACAGTAGCTTAAAACAAGTAGCTGATGACTACCTTACAGCTTGTGTTACACTGTATATGCAGTAAGCAGCTGTTGTAAATGAAGCTGAACAAAAATGGCTACTTACCAGGTAACTTGATAGATTATTAGGTTAAAATCCTGTTGTTGCACTGATATATAGAGTTCTGCTTACAGGATGAATGCAGATTGCTCCAACTCAACATGCGGTCACAAAGTCCGGGCAAGTCCAGGCGTGTGTTCAGTTTTGAAACTAAACCATTGAAACTCAATAGATATGAGTTACTCTAACTTAGTATATCCCTATAGTTCAGTGAACGCAGACATATTTTTTTCCAAATCATTACATTTGTAAGTTACATTTTTTTTGTTCTTTTTCAGTTTGACCAACTTATTAAAATGAGTTGTAAACTAACTCAAATAAGTTGAGGTAAAAAACAAAAAAAAATTATGTTGAAAAAGTATTTCATTTTAAGTGGAATCTACTAACCCCATGAATAGTTTTTTAGAGTGTACTGCTCCTCCTCCCTTATTGGTACACCTACACAATGGAGGCTAGGCTATATTTGTATTTGGCTTGACCTGCTCTATGGCTGATGTAGTTAGGTACATTTCCTCAACTTTGATATTATATTTCAAAATATGATGCAAACACTGTTAATCACTGTTTATGATGATGCATCGTTGGATAATCAGGCCTTCTACGCACATGCCCAGGTGCCAAGGCAGCAGTGAAAAGTGGTTAGTCATATTTATTGAGTTATAGTAACAGAGCTTATTAAAAGTAGGAGTGTCCCAATTATTCAATATTGCTTCCTGATCCCAATCAGAGTCTTGGAATAATTTGAATCTGCACCTTTCGTTATTAAAATACTTTCAACAGGAAATTATTTTAAGAAGACAAAGCATAGGTTCAACTTCCTAGCAAGATAAAAAAAAAAAGTAATTGGATTCATTTTTCAAAACCAGCAAAAAAAATTAAAACAATGCCTTTGTTAATGCATTTTTGGAAAATCTACTGGACGGGCCAACAAGACACATGCCAAGGGAACAAGGCAGCAGGGGCCCCTAAAATACCCCTTGAGGCAAGACTTCATTTTTGTATTTGAGTGGAATGCAATTAATATATATATACTGATAATGTCAGCAAACATTGCACCAAAGTGCTCCTAGTAGGAATGCAATTTAAAACGAGTGGTATTTGTATTGTGTGTACTCATGTAAATATCCCATGGGCCTTGTATTGATTTGCTTATTGTTATTTTCTTTGTCGTCCTTGAGAAACATGTTCCCAAGTAATATTAACATAAATCATTTCCACACCATGAAAGTGTCTTTTTGTGATGTGAAAATTGCATTTTATGGTGCTGTTTAATGATCAAAGAATCCTTAGTTGTACTTCACCACGTAAAGGCCCGAAGGTACAGACTTTTATCTTCTCAGAGCACCAAAGCAAAAATGCTAAAACTTCCATGACTTTGAAAGTCCAACTCTGAGCAGATGTCAAAGTTGAAACTCCATTTTGATCTATATTTTATTGTATTTTTATTTACTTTTTGTTCAGTCTCCTTGCACTCTCAGATGTTTTATGTCAGGCTGTGATTGACAAGGTTATAATAGAACATTGCCAAAACTACAAAGGCATCCCATTGTTGTCATTCCTTGTTTGCCTAAAATCTGTTTTTTTTTATAAGTTTCCATAACTGACTTTGATTAATTGTTGGAGAATTATTTTTATTTTAGAAATACAATGAGTACGCTTTTCTTTCAGAATGACTCAAAGGAGAATCAAAATTGGTTTTGCTCTTCCCGATTGGAGACATTATTGTTAAAGGGCCCATGTCATGGCCATTTCCACTGATCATAATTCCATTGTTGAGGTCTACTAGAATAGATTTATATTGTGCAATTTTCCAAACTCACATTGGTTTCTCATACAGCATCTCTGTAAACTACTTGTATTCACTGAATTTCACTCTCTGCCTTTAACGGCTCGTTGGAGCTCCAATAGCTCCAGCCCCCACCCTCCCTGTGAGCACAGTGTGCTCTGATTGGTCGGGACGTTGTGAATCGCGCTGAGCTCCGTGGAGGTGTTGTTTCCTTGTTTAGGTTACACAGCGAAACACAGCCAAACTCATCCTGAGCACACACAAAGTCACAGCCGAAGTAAAAACAATAAGTGTGGCTTGATATTGAGTAAGAAAAGGGTTGATAAACGCTGTGAGAATGGGTCTGCAGAGAGAATTTTGCCGCGATCCCAACTGTCTGTTATCAGCCTGCAGCCAGGGAGGAGAAATCAGCACATCAGAGCTGCCTGCACATAGAGTGTGTGTGTGTGAGGAAGTCCGTGGATTGGTCAATTTGGATTAATCAGCGGGGGCTTAACGTAACGGCTCCGCGGACGTAACGTAACGGCTCCACGGATTGGTCCGTGGAGCATGATGTCATGCCGTACCTGGAACGAAATGGAAGAATCAAATGGACAGTGACGTATCTCCAACGAGGCGTTTTGGGGAGGTATTTTCTGTGTTAGAGTTTTACTCGCTACAGGGTGTACTTTGAGGGTTTTGACTCTGCTCACTGTTTACATGCATAAAAACCTTCATAACACACAAGGGGACGGGTAATAACCGGAAAAGCATACAATATACAATGTGACATTTCCAGAGGTGGGGACTCGAGTCACATGACTTGACTCGAGTCAGACTCGAGTCGCATATTTTTTGACTTGAGACTTGCTTGACTAACATTGATAAAAGACTTGACTTGACTTTGACTTGGTATTCATGACTTGAGACTTGACTTAAGCTTGAGACAGATGACTTGAAAGGACTTGTCTGTTTAAAATGAAATATTTGCGTTTGTTTTTGTAGTGAGATATTACGTTTAGTTTTTTCGAAAAACGTGATTGGGTGATTATAGCACCATGCGCGCAAACCTGGCAACCCACTAGACCGCAGGAGCGTCAGTTAACATGGCAGCGGCTAGCGTTACTCCAAAAATAGTGAAGTTTGGATTCAAGGATTATGTTGTCGATGACGCTAATAAGAAGAGAACAGCGGTATGCAGGGTCTGCAGCATAAAGATCAGTGACACGACCACATCCAACTTCATTCGTCACTACAAAAAAACCCACAGAGAAAGGTGCGTGAATGTGTTGTGTTAGCTAGAAAGCTAACGTTAAGTTTAAGCTACGTTAGACTTGGTTTCAAATCGATTAAGCATTGCAAAGAGAAGACAAAACGGTAAATGAACACTAGAACCACCAAGGGATTCATTTGGACTAACCCCGATACTGACGGGCTGTCAGGAGAGGGAGAGAGAGAGGAAAAGAGAT